TCGTGCGCCCCGGGGTGCCGTTTGCACGCGCCCCCCTACCGCAGCCCCGCCCCGCGCAGGCCGTACGTGAGGCGACGCCGGGGGCGCGGGGCGTGCCGGGACGGCAGTCGGAGAGCGAGGCGGCGCCTCCTGGCTGAGCTCGCCCGGACTACATTTCCCACAAGGGCCACCCGGACGCCCGTCGGTGTGCGGAGAGCCGGGGGAACCCGCGGGGAGCCAGGCGGGCGGCGCTCTCGCCGGCCTGAGGGGCCGAGCCTGAGGAGGGTGCGGAACCGACAGTCGGCCCCGCCCTCCGTCCTGGTCGGGTCGAGGTCTGCGCTGCCACCTTGGAGGCGGGATTGGCCGCCACCCGGGGTTTTTTCGGACTCCAGGTTTCCCTGCCAAACACGAGGAGTCCAGGGAGAGCAAGCACACGTCCCGGCCCGAGCGCGCCCAGGCAGGGATGGGCCGCGGGATCTGCTGGCCCTTCTCCGCGCTCCTGCTGGCCGCTCTGCCCCCGGTGCTGTTGCTGGGGGCGGCGGGCTTCACGCCCTCCTTAGACAGCGACTTCACCTTCACTCTCCCGGCAGGCCAGAAGGAGTGCTTCTACCAGCCCATGCCCGCGAAAGCCTCATTGGAGATCGAGTACCAGGTGAGTGCGGAGGGGGGGCCCGGCCGCCCCACGCCGTCGCCTCTCACCGCTTAGAAACTTCTTGAGGACCGCGGGGGCCCCGGGGCAGCCGGCCAGCTCCGCGCAGGCGCGCGAGGCGGCAAGGCTCCCGCTGGGTCCGGGGACCCAGGCGCTGGGCGGGACCTGGAGAGACAACTGCCTGTTCTCTCCCCTTTCCTCTGCTCGGAAAGAGGCCAGAGCTGGCGAGGTCGCTGGCTTGTCTTTCGGTTTCATAGTTCGCCCATCGCTTTTTCGAGTCAGAACATGCTCCATGCTGAGAATTTCGCAACCCAGGAGAAAACTGATACACGTTCTCCTTCGTTATTGGACGAGGTGATGACACTTGTTTGAATCACCCCCACTTTCATTCAATTCCGAGATTGTAACTCATCACTGCCTTTGCTTCAATGAAGGATTTTTGAATTATGACCTTATCATTGTCTTTAGCCCAATTTTGAAACATGTTGGAAGGGGCTATCGCTGTATTTAACGGTACATTTCTGTTCCAGTTACATATCCATTATTTTCACATTAAATAAGGTCAAATCGTATGTTAAAATTTTTATAGTATTTCTTTCATTGAGTAGTGTAAACATTTCCCCCATGTTCATTGTTTTCTTTTTTAGTATCTGCTTAGTACTCAATTATACATAATTGTCTTAATATATGTAGTCATTCTAGTAGGGAGTAATTTCTTAGAAAAGATCTTGTTAGTTCCACATAGTTCATTTAGATGTTTTCAGGTAGCACTGCAAGAACACTGCATTGATGTGTTTCATCTTTCAGGTTTTTTTTTTTAAGTTAATTTAAAATCAAATATTAAATTTTTTAAGTTGATGTAGAGACTTTTTAGATACCAGGTACTGTCACATAGAGAGTAAATAATAGAATTTTTATCCAAGGGAACTTTAGGATTAGATTATTTACAAATCCATGTATTTCAGAATAAAGTATCTAAAGTCACATAGTAAGCAAAACTGAGTCTAGAGCTCAACATTTCTTGATTTCCAGTAGAGTTCAAAAGTTCAATACTTGGAACCAGCAGTTAGTGTAATGGCTATGTCGCTGGACTCCCACGTAGTCGATTGTGTTTCGCATCCCAGACCTGGTGGCTTAAAACTCACGCTGGGCGCGTGTGTGTGCGTGCCCAAGATCCCGAGAGGAGAATGGAGGAGAAGGGATTGTGGTGTGGCCATCCCCCCTGGGGGGTGATTTCTCGCTTTCTGTCTTTCTGTCTCTGTCTGGCAAGCGCACGTGCCCTATAGTGAAAACCTCTCAAAAAAAAAAAAAAAAGTTCAATACTCATCAAAGAGTTAATATATGGGCAGAAATTGGGGGTGGTGTTGGGGGGACACATGAAAAGAGAAAGAATCCCTGTTCTCAAGGAGCTTAATATTTAAAGGTTACTGGCTCATAAACAGGTATCAAATAAATATGACTAAGTGTTCTTAGAGGAGGGCTACTTCTCTGGTTCTCAAAAGAGCATTCCTGGAGAAAATAAAATTAAACTATTTAGAAAGATGCTTAAGTGAGACAGAAATGCAAAGGACTAGGGGGGTATTTCAGGAACGAAAAAAAAAGTGAATAGACACTCAGTTCCAAAAATGCATAGTGATGAGCAGTATGTGGTGGACACCACAAATACTGAGTTTTTATTAGACTTTAAGACTGTAAAGTCTAAGATTGTAAAGTCTAGGATGGGAGTAGCTGAAAAAGGAATTGGAGAAGTCAGGAAGCTGGATTCTGGATTATGAATCATAGCCTTGAGTGCTGTACTAGTAGCTCTTTTCCTTTTTTGTATGATGCCCTTCACGATTTAAGCAGATCACTGGGTGCAGTGTGGAAAATGGGTATCAGAGGAGCAAAATTAGGGACCAGCCCCATGGTACATTATTGTTCACAAGAAACCTTATCTCACATTGCAACTGCAATTCTTGTTCCTGGACTGGTTGGCCTGAAACAAGCCAGTACCCAAGGTCCACAGGGCTGGAGGACTAGAAGAATGGTATCCCTGTGGAAGGTGTTTCTCTCATTCGCTCTTTATCTATCTCTCTCTCTCATGCACACACACATATTCTATTGTGAATAAAGAAAAAATATTTATTTAATGAAGAATAGCAAAAATAGAGGCAAGAAAACCAACTAGGGATTTAATGAAATGGCCTAGGTTACATTTTCTTTAAAACTTTGATTTGGAGTCAGTAGGTGGTATGGAGGTTGGGCACTGGTTCCCATGTTGCCTACTGTGTGTTTTGAGTCCCAAAATCAGTGGCTTGAGAATCACACTGGACACTTGTGTGTGTGTACCCAAAATCCCAAAAGGAAACTGGAGGAGGGAGAGGGATTGCAGTATGGCCAATACCCCTGGATTTCTATAGAGGTATTTTATAGAATTGAAGAAGTTCTTCTCTTTTCCTAGTTTAATCTTTTTTTTTTTTTTTTTTTTTTTTTTTTTTTTTTTACTATTAATTGGCTACAGGACATGTGTGTTTGCCAGAGACTGAGACAGTCAGGGAAAATGAGAAAATACTCCCCATGGAAGATAGTCACCTACAATCCCTCCACATCATTTCTTTCAGGATTTTAGGTAAACACACATGCCTGGCATATTTTTTAAACCTCAGGATTCAGGACTCAAACCACACACTAGTCCATGTTGGATCCATCTGCCTTAGCCATCATCTGCTAGCCCATATTACATAAATCAGTGTTGGATATTTGTGTGTGTATGCCAAAGGGCATGTGCATACAAGATGGGATAATCTTCCAATAAAGCCGAGTCATGCCACAATCCTTTTTCCTCTGTTTCTATATCTTTTTTTTTTTTTTAAGAGGTTTTCGCTATAGGGCGCGTGCGTTCGCCAGACAGAGAAAGACAGAGAGACAGAAAGCGAGAAATCAGCCCCCAGAGGGGATGGTCATGCCGCAATCCCTTCTCCTCCATTCTCCTCTCGGGATCTTGGGCACGCATGCACACGCGCCCGGCATGAGTTCTAACCCACCGGTTCCAGGACACGACCCGCGGTCAACTACGTGGGAATCCAGAGACATAGCCATTATGCTAACTGCTGGTTCCCTGTTTCTATATCTTCACAGGATTTTGGGCAAGATCATATGTGCTAGGCATTTTTTTTTCTTTTTTATGGAGAGGTTTTTGCTTTAGGGCGCATGTGCTTGCCAGACAGAGACAGAAAGCAAGAAATCACCCCCCAGGGGGACTGGCCACGCCGCAATCCCTTCTCCTCCATTCTCCTCTTGGGATCTTGGGCACGCACACACACGCGCCCGGCATGAGTTTAACCGTGGTCAACTATGTGGCAGTCCAGCGACATAGCCATTACGCTAACTGCTGGTCCCCAGCTAGGCATGTTTTTCAAGCCACCTCTGGGACTGGGATTAAAACTGCAGTCAGCCATAGGGGATCTGGCTATTTCTACAGTGGTTAAAATATGCTTCAGAGGTCGGCCCAGTGTTGGAATTTTTGTATTTTTTCTGTATCCACTAGTGTGATCTTTTGATTTTCCCCTTACTGTTGTGTTTGATGTTTGGACTGTACTGATTGGTTTCTAAATTTTGAGCCAGCCTTATATACTTGGAATAAATTCACTCTTTGGTTACAATTCTTTTTTACATCATTGAATTATACTTGTTAACATTTTGTTGAAGACTTTTGCACCTCTGAGAGGACTTCAAAAGTTAATGGAAGGGGGGCAGGGGGGGGGTGACTGACCCAGCAGTGCCGCTTCCCCTCTGCCTCTGTCGCCCCACAGGCCCCAGGACCTCACACCCTCAGCTCTGCCTGGTCTGGTGTCCCTGTATCCCGGTTCCTGCGAAATGACGCTCAAGGCAAGCGAGGGCGAGGGTGGGAGCAGCATGCGCAGGGTGCTCTCTGACCTGTACCTGGAGCATTTGCTGCAGAAGTGCAGCCGGCCGGAGACTGTGTCACACCAGCTGAATGCTGTGACCGAAGACATGTACACCAATGGGTCTGCTGCCCCAGGTAGTCCTGCCCAATGCAAAGGACAGGAGCTGCGAAAAGTGCGCCTCATACAATTTGAGAAGGTCACAGAGGAGGAGCCCATGGGAATCACTCTGAAGCTGAATGAAAAACAGTCCTGTACAGTGGCCAGAATTCCTCATGGTGGCATGATCCATAGATGGTCCCTTCAGTGGGGGGATGAGATCCTAGAAATCAATCGCACAAATGTGACTAATCACTCCGTAGATCAGCTGCAGAAGGCAATGAAAGAAACAAAAGGAATGATCTCAATAAAAGTAATTCCCAACCAGCAAAGCTGTCTTCCTGCACTACTGATGTTCATGAGAGTGCAATTTGACTATGATCCCCAAAAGGACAGCCTGATCCCTTGTAAGGAGGCAGGGCTGAAGTTCGCTACTGGGGACCTTATTCAGATCATCAACAAGGATGACAGCAACTGGTGGCAGGGACTGGTGGAAGGCTCCTCCAAGGAGTCAGCAGGACTGATCCCCTCCCCCGAACTGCAGGAGTGACAAGTGGCAAGTGTGGTTCAGTCTGCTCCAAGTGAAGCCCCAAGCTGCAGTCCCTTCAGAAAGAAGAAGTACAAAGACAAGTACCTGGCCAAGCACAGCTCGATTTTTGACCAGTTGGATGTCATTTCCTATGAGGAAGTTGTCCAGCTCCCTGCATTCAAAAGGAAGACCCTGGTGCTGATCGGAGCCAGTGGGGTGGGTCGCAGCCACATCAAGAATGCCCTGCTCAGCCAGAATCCAGAGAAGTTTGTGTACCCTGCCCCATATACAACACGACCATCAAGGAAGAGTGAGGAAGATGGGAAGAAGTACCACTTCATCTCAATAGACGAGATGACACGAAACATCTCTGCCAATGAGTTCTTGGAGTTTGGAAGCTACCAGGGCAACATGTTTGGCACCAAATTTGAAACAGTGCACCAGATTCATAAGCCGGACAAGATTGCCATCCTTGACATCGAGCCCCAGAC